AAAAAAAAAAAAAAAAAAAAAAAAAAAAAAAAAAAAAAAAAAAAAAAAAAAAAAGAGTTTGAGGCCAAGCCAGGCTACATCAATTTCTATTTGTATGACACAGTACAACTTGGAAGGAAGGGAAAAGGGAAAAAAAAAATTGTAAGTATTTTCTATTTGGAGTACTGTTTCTCAAAACAAAGCTTCAATTTATATATCACATATATAAATGCACTTATTAATCTATTAACTTATGTATTTCATGAATGTGGGTGTTTTATCTGCATGTACATCTGGACATCAGAAGAGGGCATCAGATTCCATGGGACCACAGTTACAGATGACTATAAACTGCCAGGTAGGTGCTAGATGTTGAACTCAGGACAGGAAGAGCAGACAGGGCTCTCTCTCTTTTTTTTCCCTCTGTGTAGCCCTGGCTGTCCTGGAACTCACTCTGTAGACCAGGCTAGCCTCAAACTCAGAGATCCAGCTGCCTCTGCCTCCTGAGCCAGTGCTCCATCTCTCCAGCCCCCGGAATGCTATTCTTACCATGGTGTCTAGTTACACAAAGGGAAACATTTGGCAAATACTATGCCAGATGATCAGAGTAAGATCCGTTAAGATGTAAGCAGGTCCCTTTGATGCAGAGGATAAGATCAGTCCTGTGTGCTTTCAAATCAAGGGCGCTCCATCCTGGAAGGGAATGGTGACCACACAGAGCGGTCACGGGGGAAGGTGTCTGCATAAGCCAGGGACAGGGAAGCTCTGTACCTGCGGAGGGGAGGCAATCATTGCCTGGTTCCACCACGGCCAGGTCCTCGGAGGCGCCGTCTCTGCAGTCCTGGCATTGAGCGTGCTGATGTGAGTTCACACAGAGGGCGTAGACGGCATACTTCATGGCACAGAAGCCCTGGTAGAGGGTCAGGCTCTGACGCTGGCTCAGGTGCTCAGGGACTGAGGCATCCTGGGTACCTGAAGCCGAGAAACAGGCAGAACGTCACAGTTCACCTTTTCAGGCAGGAGCAGCAAGCATGGCTGAGGGAAAGGGGGTTGATCTGTAGTTCTTGTAGTTCTTAGCGTCCTGTGCGTCTGACCTGCAACTTCCCAGGCCTCTCCCCTAGTCAGTACCAGCTGTCCTCTTTGCTTTTCTGCACCAGTCTGCCTTCTCTATGATGCATGGCCTCCATTACCTGGGCACTAACTTATACTCCATATGGTTTGGACCCCAGCCATGGTCCTGTTACTGTTACATGGCCCTTTTTCAAAGTCAAGTCCCAAGCTCCAGGTATATCTCAATGGATTTAACATGGCCAAATGTCAAATACATCATTGGAAGCCTTTGATACTTGTAGGTGGGAATCAGAATTCTAGTTCTTCTAGGAAATTTGCCAAACAAGTTGCCTATCTTTCTGGAGGTGGGGTGGGGAGAAAAGGAAAAAAAAAAAGAAAGAAAAAGGAATGTGGAAACACCGGTTTGTGGTTTGTCCTTTTGAAAAGCAAATCAAAACAACATCTCCCTACTGGAAACATCTGCTCTCACCTGAGAAAGGTCCCTGACCTGTGGGACACACTGTGAGGACACTATGGCCAACTCACCATGTTCTCGCTGGAGGTCCTTAGCTGGCACCTTCTGTAAGAGCTTGAGGACTTCTTCCTCTCCGAGGGCTGGAAGGTTGGTCAGGTGGTGGAGAGAGTAGAGCACTGAGTGACTGTCTCCGCCATGTAAGTGACATAAGAGCTCTCTCTTTGGTATGAGGCTGCTGAAACAGAAAGTTGGAAGGATGGACAGGAAGGCAGTTTTTATTACTGCCCTGTAAGAGACAACTCTGTTTCCTCTTGTTCTTCTTCTCTGGCCTATAATATTCCACGCTTCACTTTCTCAAACTATATTTTACTAGGTCTAGGATAAAAGGTAACAAGTTAGCTGCTTGTCTAGAAAGGATCTAGGAAGGGCCTTTCTAACCAGTGGAGTCTACGAAGGGCCCGAAGATCCCAAGATCCTAAGGTCTATTCTCTCTGTAGCTCTGAAACAGGCTTTCTACTCACTCCTCCTGCTACTTTCTAAGCACTGGTGAGAAGCAGAAGGAACAAAACGGAAACTCAGATCTAGGCTACGGCAGGTCTCACTACGGAACCTTGGCTGGCCTGGCACTCGCTCTGTAGACCAGGCCGGCTGTCAACTCCCAGAGATCTGCCTGCCTCTGTCCCCCAGGGGCTGAGATTAAAAGTGTGAGCCACCATGAGTGGCCCTTAGCGTCCCACATTCAAAGCAAGAATCGCGTCTGTATCTACTTCACCGGAATGTTGTAAGGGGCTTAGAACAAGGCCTGACCTATAGTACATGCCTAGTGATGGTGAGCTGTTGTTCTTTCAGATGCCAAATTATCCTTTGGCTGTGACGTGATGGTCACAGATGGAAGCTAATCATTACTTGTGTTTCCTCCAATCCCTGGTTTAACGGATGGAACAGTCATTTCAACATTATCAATTTTTTTTTTCTGAAATAGAGCACAGGGTTGAGTGTGCCCCAGGTATGGTATAACGACTTGACAGGGACATACCTGCTTTGCTGTACACACCACTCCAGGACCTCTAAATGAGCCCACAATCCTTCACAGGCGTCCCTGAGAAGCTCGTCATGGCCTTGGTCCTAGTCGGTGTAGAAGAAACAAAAGCTGACTCAGGCATCAGGTACTGTAGCTGACTGTGAGACTCTCAACTCTTCTAGGCCCAAAGCCCCTTGGCATTCGGTTCTGGAGCACCCCGAGGTGCTGAATGAGTTACCTGGGTCCTGTAGAGGGTTTGGAGTAATTGTTTAGCTGATTCAAGGCTCTGGCAGTGTGTCCAGCCCAGGAGTACGAGCAGGTGACTGAGAGGCCTGAATTCTCTATCAAGTAGGTGTCCAAGGCTTGGGAAGTCTTCCTCTTTCAACAGGGTTAGCGCTGTTACCTGTAAGCCAAAGGTCACCTGGTTACCCGAACTTGAAAGAATGAGTTCCAGTTTCCTTAGGGTAGTTGGTTACATAAAAAGAAATGTTCACCAAAGCACAACATTCTAAGCATTTTGAAGTGAGGGACTGGCTTCTGTAGTAATCCGGTCTCTTAGCATAGCACACAACCTACAAGTTGGGATTCACAACTATCTTTTGAAGTAAATGAGGTTCAGTTGCAGTTTGGAAGGCAAGAGTTAGAGTAATTAAATTTCCCTGCCAGTTAGGCCTTGTACTGCTGCCGTGGCCTCTGCTTTCTGCATCCTCCAGAGAGCGGACACATAGCCGGTATTTCCTTCCTACCAAAGGTTCCACATGAGGTGACTGCAGCATCAGTTATGACTGGAACTGGGTGTTCTCACACGTCCCTCTCACCCTAGGGACTTGGGTATGACAACCAGATGATCTGTCACTGATTAGATGGCAGGCGCCGGATACATGAGTGGGAGAGAAACCAGAAAACCGAAACAGCCCAGGGAGGTTCTGGATTCTTCTATGACGGACAGTAGTCAAGCCTGACTTACCAGGATCTGCTCCAGGAAGTGTTTGTTGTTGCTTAGGCAGTAGAAAAAGGCCATTTTCCAAGCATCGGCTGGGTCGGGAGTGGAGAACAGGGCCAGCATTGCCCGCTCAGGATCCCGATGATCTGGGGAGACTGAACAGCCCATCAGGACGGTTACTAGGAAACAAAGAGCTCCTTTTTCTCATGCTACAGTCCACACTGAAAACCAACCAATCTGAGACTAGGCGCTTGTATTTATTTGCTTAAGATTTATTATTGTTATTTTTATATTGTGTGTGTGCCTGTGAATATTATGGGGTCCATTCTTTCCTTCCACTTTTATGTGGGTTACGGGGCTCGAACTCAGATCACTGGGCTGGTGCTATCTTTCTAGCCCAAGAGTAGACTCTTGTAAAAGTTAAACCCAACTGTTTGCACTTTATCTTAAAGATGCTTCATTCCTCTTAGTAGCTTCTGCAAAGCTTTTTTTCTGTTCCTGTTCTTTTCTTAAGCTCTGATGTAAACAAACAACAAACAAACAAACAAACAACACTAACAATAAAACAGGCTATGTGGTTTTGCTTAGCCTCTCCTGTCTTGGACAACAAGCAGGTACAATTCTAGTCCAGAACTTCAGAGGGCACACTGGAATTTACTGAAGCACAAGGAGAAACAGCCAAAGGAACACACCTTTTCCTGGAAGTGTGGCCTTGGGTGGCCTTTCCGCCACCTTCTCTGCATAGGTTTGGCCGTAGAGGGACAGCAGGCTCCGTCCGGCCTTGTGCAACAGGCAACCAAGCAGACGTTCCTCCTGCAGGGGACTGCCCTCAGCCCTGCAGGTCTCCAGCAGTTCCTCACACAGGACACGCCATTCACTCTCCGGGGGCTCAAGAGTACAACACAGAGCCTGCAGGGCTCCACAGACAGCGTCGGCCACCCCAGGCGGCTGAGGGGCGGGGTCCCGGAGGGTCTGCAGTCCCTTTCGAATGAGACCCAGCAGCGTCTTCTGCAGAGGACTGGGACAGAGGCTGGCGCTGTGGTGATCCTCAAGCAGGAGCTCCAGCAGGGCCTGGGCGAGCTGAGGGGCTTGCTTGAGAAGATTCCAGAGCACGGAGACAGCTTCAGGGCTGAGCTGAGGGGCCCCACTCTCCCACCTCTGGCTTCTGTCAGGTGTACTGCCTCCTGGGCTTTGGGCTAAGGTTTCAAACAGCTCCTGGGAGGAGAATGAAGACGGGGATTGTAGTGGCCACCAACATGGCTATGACTGTGTGCTTGACGGCTCGGCAGCAGTAACAAACATTTCTACAGGCATGTGCATAGCTAGTCACTGTTCAAGGCTCTTCACGGAAGAACCAAATCAACCATTATGATAGTCTCCAGAGGAAGATACTATAGTTATTCCCATCTTACTGATGAGACTGAGGTTAAAAACGATTAGCTCAGTTACCCAAGTCCCACCCCACTCTCCTCAAAGTATATATTGGTGACCTAAATTAAGACTATGCATTTATAGACTAGGTGGGTAAGGCATTATGCACACCTAAAAGCAAATCAATTTATCCATTTATCCATTTATCCATTTATTTATTTATTTATTTATTTATTTATTTATTTATTTATTTATTTTTGAGACAGGGTTTCTCTATGTAGGCATTATGCACACTTAAAAGCAAATCAACTTATCTATCTATCTATCTATCTATCTATCTATCTATTTATTTTTGGTTCTTCGAGACAAGGTTTCTCTATGCAGCTTTGGCACCTTTCCTGGAACTCACTCTGTAGCCCAGGCTGGCCTCACAGAGATCTGCCTGCCTCTGCCTCCCGAGTGCTGGGATTAAAAGTGTGTGCCACCACCGCCTGGCAAATCAATTTATTTTTGAAAGAATACTACAGATCAGCTTTTAACTACTGATCTGAATTCTGTCCATGTTTTAAGGTATAGTCCATTTTTTGTCCTCTCATAAAACCCTTCTGCTATGGTGTGACTGTGCACCTTAAAAGTTCACATGTCAGTAGCCAGGCATGTAGCACATACCTGGAATCCCAGCACTTGAGAGGCTGAGACTTTGTGGCCAGACTGGGCTGTGTGACAAGACACTGTCTCAAACAAACAACAACAAAGTAGTTCATGTGCTGGAAACTTAATCCCCAATTTCACATGTTAGTATTTAGAGACTGAGCCTTTGGACGAGAGTTAAGATGAGATGGCATCTAATTTCAAGGCCAATTCCCATGATATGAGCAACTTTGTAAGAAGAGAGACCCCCGGGTTAGCACACCTGTGCGCTCTCCCTTTGTGATGCCCTCTGCCATGTTATGGTGCAGCAAGGAGGCTCTTCCAGATGCCGGGCAATCACCAGTGCTATGTTATTCTTCCCAGTGTCCAAAACATGAACTAAACACATCTGTTTTACAAATTATCCAGCCTGTGGTATTTAGTTTTAGCAACAGACATCAGAGACACTCGCTTAATGTTTTCAATCCACACACCTTCGAACAATTAAATGAGTACCGTATGGTTCATTAAAAATATGTCTCCGATGTATTAGCTCAATTAGGTATGGAGTCTACCTCCTCAACTAGACTGTTAAAAGCATGATTCTCTATAGTCTGCTTGTATGGGGCACGAGGATGTGCACTGTTTCCCACATCTGTAGATGCTGTTCAGGGATGGCTTTTTATTAATTGCTAGTCTATGAGCCCTTAAACGAATGCAAGTCAGTTCTTAGATGAGTCCTATATGTCTTATCTGGTAGCAGGGTCTTAAGAAAACAAATAATGGGCTGGGGTGTGGATCAAGGACAGAGTGACTGTCTAGAATGTGTAAGACCCTGGGTTTGATGCTAACAAGAGTTAAAATAAATAAATGAAGTACTGAGTCTTAAGCACCTAAGAAGCAACTGATACATATGTGTGTGTGTGTGTGTGTGTGTGTGTGTGTGTGTGTATTTCTATATAGATATAGTTATCTATATCTCTCTATAGAAAAAAGCTAGGAATCTGATAGATGATATAGTTTTCTATATCTCTCTATAGATAAAGATATATATCTACAGATATAGATAACTATATCTATATATTATCTATCTATTGATTGCTAACTTTTTTCTGGGGGTGGCAATAGAGACAGGTTTTTACTATGTAGCTCAGGCTGGCCTCAAATTCTTGATTATTGGCATATACAATCATGCTTATCTAGACAAAGACAACATTTAGCTGGAATCTGCCCCTAGAAAGTTGTTGTAATGATTAGCTATAAAACATTAGTGTGTCTGTTATAGAAGACAAGTCCATCAAATATTAGTTCCTTTCTTCCCTCAAACTCTCTATCATCTACTGGTCAACAATTCAAAAATCTTAAACCCAAGCAATGAGTTCCATCTAGGTGAAATGCAAAGAACAATTGAGTGCCTGCTATGATCAGTACTGCTGGGCAATCTGCTTCCAGAATTCCAAAACCAGGCAAGTTATACTCACTCTAAACTCCCCTTGGAGGGGCCTGTCTATTGCTTCTCTGAAAACAAAGGACAGCCAACGTCTTAAGAGACCTGTCTCCTCTATGGCCCTGAAAGTTGACCTTGTTCAGTGACTGCAGATGGCCCTCAGGCTCTCTTACCTTGAGGATGTTCTCTGGAATGTCACCGTGGAGGTCTTCTGACAAAAAAAGAAACTCAAGTTTCCTCCGAAAAACAGCAGAAAGTAATTTCTGGAGGAATAATAAGCAATTATAGAGGTCAGGTATATGCTTTGCTTAACAAATACAGTTCCTCTTTAGTTACTCTTATTTCTGCAATTTCTCTAAGATCAAGTATCTTTAGCCATTATCCCCTGGATACAATTTTTTTTACAAGATTAATGTTTATTTTTATGTATATGGGTGATATATGTATGTCTGTGCACCATGTGCAAGTCTGGTGCCTGCAGAGGCCAGAAAAGGAATCAGATCCCCTGAGACTGGAGATACAGATGGTTGTGAGCTGCCATGTGGGTACTGGGAATTGAACCCAGGTCCCCTGGAAGAATAGCCAGTGCTCTTAATCTCTGAATCATCTCTCCAGCCCTCCTGGCCATGTTTTTAGATGCTTTCCTTTGGAAATAAAGTTGGCTAAACTTGAACATTCTTTAAATTAACATGCAGGGGCTTGGAAAGATGGCTCAGTTCGAAAAGCGATTGCCCTACAAGCATGAAGACCTGAGTTCAGATCCCTAGCACCCACATTTGAAAAAAAAAAAAGGGCTGGGTGTGGTGGTATATACCATTAATCCCAGCACCTGCCTTTAGTCCCAGCACTTGGGAGGCAGAGGCAGGCAGACCTCTGTGAGTTCAAGGCCAGTATGGTCTACATAGTGAGTTCCAGGTCAGGCAGAGCTATAGTGAGACCCTGTCTCACAAAACAAAACAAAACAAAACAACAAAAACCCAATATCTGGACTGGAGAAATGGCTCAGTTGTTAAGATGCACAGACATATGTACACCTATATACATAAACACAAACATCACAACAACACAATAACAAACCAAAGAACAACAATAAATATCTAGGGTTAAATGTGTATAATCTCAGCACAAGAGGGTCCTGTTAGCTTTCTGGCCAGCCAGGGTAGCCAAACTGATGAGTGTCGGGTTCATTGAAAGACTTTGTCTCAAAAAACAACCCCCCCAAAAAACCAAACTGACCAACCTAACAACAACAACAACAACAACAACAACAACAACAACAAAAACCCAAACAAACAAACAAACAAACAAGGAGAGGCAGGAAGAGACCTAACTGACCTGATGTTGATTTTCGACTGCTTTATGTGAGCCGCACACGCATGTGCGTGTGCTTGGGTGCGCGTGTACGTGTATACACACACACACACACACACACACACACACACACACACACACACACGTTAAAGCCTACACTGATTAAACACCAAGGTTTGTTCATTTCATGTGGTCCTTCTTTTCCTCTTTCTCTGTTTGGAGACACGGTCTTGCCTGGTAGCCCAGGCTGGTCCTGTACTTAGGTCCTCTTGCCCTATTTTCCTCCTGCTGGGATGAGACCACACCATAACCTGACTCCTCTCTCTTTTTGAAAAATCACTCATTTTTTTTCATTTTCATCAAGAATTTTTGTTGCTGTGGCAAAACAGCTACAGGAAAGCCTTGGAGGGCATTCCCTCATAATCCTCTTTAATCCAACCGTGCTTCTGGTGTTCATTATCCTTTGTATACCAGTTGTTGAAAAACAAAACAAAACAAAACTAAAGGGAAGGATCCAATGTCTATTTAGCAAGCATGCCTGGCAGAGGGTGCTGTATTTCATTTCCAGTTCAAAGAAACCCATGGCATGAAGCTATGTGGTTTTCTTTTTTGTTTTTGTTTTTTTTTTTTGTTTTTTTTGGAGCTAGGGTTTCTTTGTGTAACAGCTCTGGCTGTCCTGGAACTTACTTTGTAGACCAGGCTGGCCCCAAACTCACGGAGATCCACCTGTCTTTGCCTCCTGTGTGCCACCACTGCCTGGCTGAAGCCATGTTTTAAACAATAATCCTTACTGGAAGTGAAATAATTAAAGAGTATTTTATAATCATTCCAAACATAAAAATTTTAAAAAGATATATTTTCTTTTCTTTTCTTTTTTTTTTTTAGGTTTTTTGTTTTGTTTTGAGACAGGGTTTCTCTAGCTTTTTGGAGCCTGTCTGGAACTCACTCTGTAGACCAGGCTGGCCTTGAACTCACAGAGATCCGCCTGGCTCTGCCTCCCAAGTGCTGGGATTAAAGGTGTACACAACCACTGCCCAGCCTAGTGATATATTTTTAATCTATAAAAATTAAAAAATATAACTATGTAAATTATAATATAAAGTATAATATATAAAACTTAAAATCAACAAAGGAGAAGTATGATTAATGACACTGAAAATTTATTTACCAAGCCGGGCGGTGGTGGCACATGCCTTTAATCCCAGCACTTGGGAGGCAGAGGCAGGCAGATCTCTGTGAGTTTGACGCCAGCCTGGTCTACAGAGCCACATCCAGGACAAGCACCAAAACTACACAGAGAAACCCTGTCTCAAAATACCAGCCAACCAAACAAACAAAAATTCATTTACCACATAATTTTGAACAGCGGCATAGAGTATTGCATATAGATATGCTTCCATTTATTAACCAGGCCTGTGTACCATGGACAGGGTGATTTCTAGCTTTCCTTTCTTAGTAGCGGCTTATCAGCAAACATCTCTGTAGCTAAACCTTTATACACATGCTTACACATGTAGGCCTAAACCACTGCAAGATAAAGAGACAGAAGATAAAAGTGAATGAAGGAAAGGAAAAGAGCAGGACTGCTTCACCTAACAACTAGAAGGCAGCCCTTGGCAGGCGGTGGGAGCCTGTGAGAACAAGCAGCTCTGTGTGTCCAGAGCACGACACCACACCTGTCTCTGTAGTACACTCCCAAGTGCACCCGAAGTCTTGGTCCTCACAAAACAGTTTATGGTTCGCCAAACAACACAACTAGTCCTAGCACTGTTTAAAGAAGCGAATCACTGGAGCTTTAAGGACTACGTAATCTGTCTGATATTGGCCAAAACAAGAACAACTCCCCGTCTGGCCTAAGGAGCCAGGGAAGTGAAATCCACCACCTGATGTTATTGAGCAACCTTCCAGAGAATAAGCAGCCAATGAGGTCACAAGTAAGCAAGCCAGCAGACCTCTCCCCCCAGAGGAAAGGTCAGTTAGTTCAACAGGATTCCTGTTTGTAATAGGGAGATCCTTATTCAGTAACAAAGCCTCTCCATCCTCCTCCCTTCCAAGATGCTAGTGAATCTTCTTTCTCTTTCTTTTCTACTTTACTTCATTTTTGTTACCTTTTTCTCTCTTTTGTGCTGACTCTTATTTATCCTAGGTTTCATTATTTGCTTACTCTTGCTCTTTCTGCAATTTCTCTTCGCTAGACAACCAACTAAATGTCTTTCTAAACAATACAGTAGTGGTGGCACACACCTTTGATCCCAGTACCAGGGAGGCAGAGGCAGGCAGATCTCTGTGAGTTCAAGGCCATCCTGGACTACAAAGTGAGTTCCAGGACAGCTAAGGCTACACAGAGAAACCCCATCTTGAAAAACAACAACAAAAAGATACATTTAGATCAGGAATTTTTGGTAGAGTTATGGGAGGGATAAATGTGCAAAAATTGGAACTAAACAAAAAGTTAATTCTGATGAATGAAAGCAATAAACACAAGGAAAAAATGGTGGACATTTAAAATTTGAATTTCTTACTCTGAAGTCCATGTAGGCTAAATATAATACTGAAGGGGAAAATGGACAGGGTTTGGGGTAGGTCAGATCTTGGTTTCATCTCTGGCTTTGCTGGAGTCATTTTCTTGAGTCAAATATTCCGTGTGTGTGTGCCTCCCACCCCACCCGTCTTGGCATAGTCACTGAACTCCACAAAATTCTCTTCAAGAGCAAGACTTCTAGAGATATTTAACAAAATACTATTACTCCTAATGATATTATATGCTAAGGTACCAGGGTAAATTAATAAGCAAATCATTTCCACAGTCGATACTGAGAAAGACCACAACCAACCACGAAATAAAGGAAGTAACAGGAGGAAAAGCCTAACTCCTAAGTTCTTCTCAGTCCTGACCTCAGGGAAAAATTTAAATGTAAACCCACGTACTTTTTCTTGGTTCCACCATTTTTCCAGTACGAGAAGCCAGAGCCAGGCTAATCTTTGAGGGTTGATATCTGGCCCGCATCTGAAAAGGAAAAGAAAGATTTAGTAAGAGAGGAGTTTCACTTGACCCTTTCTCTTTTGTGATTCGAGATTTTATTTCAGTTTTCAGTTTAGTCTATTTTAAACCTGAACAGGCAAGTCCTCATGAGAAATTCTCAAATGCAAGGAACAGTTCAACAAAACAGAACCCTGTAACTTCCAGCTTCCACTAATGTCTGGACCACCTTATCGAATTGTATTTTATCTTCCCAGCTGGAGTGTTCTTGGGCTGGAACTCCGGGCTCAGGTGATTCTCCTCTGTGTCTGCCTCCAGAGTGTCTGGAGCTACAGCCACAGTCTCAGAATACCTGGCTCAGTCTTATCTGTAGGAATACTCCTACAGAGAAAGTCACAGTCCATTTGAAATACATCCGCCACTCACTGTTTTGAGACAGGGTCTCATACTGCATAGCTCAGGCTGGTCTTGAACTCATAGCAATCCTCCTGCCTCAGTTGGGATGCATGGGTTAAACTACCATACCCAGGCCCTAAGTGTACTTCTGAATACCAAAAATTAACCAAATACAAAAGAATAAAAGGAGTTCATAGAAATTCATTTGTAACTATATAGTTACAGGAATTCATAAGCCTTACTTTGAAGTCAGTCATTAGGGGAGTAACAGCCTGGGACCCAAATTTAAGGGGAAAAAACAACGGAAGAGTGATTTGCTTCTCTGGTTTTTATGTGCTAATCCAATAATTCCACAGGCTTATAACAGAAGGAACAAAATAGCAGTACATTTGGCTGCTATGACACCAGTTCACAGCGCTGCTAAGAATTTAAAGATCTAGAATGGAGAACTGTGGTTACCAAGAGGCAAGGAGGGGCAGTAGTGTAAATAGAGAGCATAAGAGCAAGGAGTGAGAGAATTCATATGTAGTGGTGAGTACTTCTGGATTTATATTACAGTGGGGTTACCTCAAGCCTCGTACGGGTAAAACTGCACAGAATTACAAGTAAAAAGCAAATATAGAGTTAAAAATGGTAAAAAATCAAGTAAGCTCTTTACTGTAGTTAATGAACTGAGGTCAATTTCCTGATTTTGATATTTTACTACAGCAGGATGAGAGGTCACAACTGGGGAAGCTGGAAAAAGGGGGTACCCTGAACGTGATTATTTTTCAACTTTTTGTGGGTCTACACTTATTTCAAAATACAAAGTTTTAAGTTAATGCCCTTTCAGTCCTTTGGTAAAGCAACAGCACATCACTCTTGTAAGCAAGAGGAGAGGGTAGGTTTGTCTTTTGTCATGCGGTTACAGCATCTTCTATTGATAATAAACAAGGAGTGATTTCAGAAACCTTTTCGTAGCCAGACTTAAACTCGGCTCTAGAGGGTAATCCAAGGCCGGTGGAGTGTATTAAATGTAAAATTATTACAGAGATAAAACTAGTCTACTTGTGCTAAATTTCTGTCTCTCCTTTTTTTTTTTTTTTTTTTTTTTTTTT